TATATATATATATATATATATATATTCGTTACCGCAATTTATATTGTTTTTTTTACATTATGCATCTTTCTCTCTCTCTCTCTCTCTCTATATATATATATATATATACGTGTTACCGCAATTTATATCGTTTTTTATACGTAAATGTAAGTAGGTATATATATATATACATATATACATACGTACATACATATATGAAGATACGTAAAACCCGTACACATATATACGTATAAAATATGTATGTAAAACGTACGTGAAGATACGTAAATATGCGTATGGGTTAAAACTCGTACGCATATATACGTTAAAAATACGTACGTAAAACGTACGTGAATATACGTAAATATGCGTACGTGTTAAAACTCATACGCATATATACGTATAAAATACGAAGTTTCAATTTTTGTACCGTTTATATCGTTTTTTTTTACGTAATGTATCTCTATATATATAAATGTTACCGTCACTTGAAAGATACATACAAACATCATCACTTTGACGTGATTTCATGTTTTGTGATGGTTTATTGTGTTTAATGGGTTAAGGGTTGTGATAGTAGAATATATGAGAAGAGAAATGAAATGGAATGTGTAAAAAATTATGAAATATGAGGTTGGTATTTATAGTGAAATTGGTATTACAAAAAAATTTAAAAAAAATATACTTAAAGCCTGGATCGCACCCGGGGGCGATCCGATGACGTGGCTCACCCCAAGTGGAGAAAAAAGAAATTTTAATTTTTTTTTCTAAAAAAAAGGTCGGATCGCCCCCTACTAGTACGGATCTCCCCCCGGGGAGATCCGTGTGATTAGTTTTGTAAAACACCTAAAAACTGGTTATTTTTGTATAAGATGATTATATAAAGTGGTTAGTTTTGTCATTTTCCATTTTATTTATCATTTTATGAGAATTTTGAGTTTTAATTCCTAACCAGCCTTTATATTAGAAATATGCTCTTATTTTATATATATTAAAAAGATATTTCTTTAATGCAGTGAAGTATATCTTGATTTAATATTTTGTTTTATTTTGTTACAATATGATTTTATGTACAATAATATTTTTATTTTTAAATAAAATATAAATTTGAAGATATTTTAAACTTTAAAAAAGTAATTGATATTAATATCAAATTAACTATTTAAAATTTTTTATTTTGTTGTGTAATTTCATTAATTCAATTTTTATTATTATAATTTAATTTAAGTTTAATAACGAAGGAATTTATTTTTTATTTAATAACATAATTTTTATAAAGATAATAATTAAGTGTTTTGTTACAAAAGTGACAATCCTAATTATATTTTAGATTTTTTATATTTAAAATAAAAATGTTTATCTGCAGTTAGTTATACGAATTCAAGCATATAGTTTTAATAAGTTGTATTTTTACTTGTAATCTTGAGTTTTTAAGTAATATGCATCAATAAACAGTATTTTACGTATAAAAAATTGTTTTTAAGGGTTTTTGTCAAATATTTTATAATATAATATAGATATGTGAAGCAAATCAAAAAAAAAAAACTACATATATTTCATAAACTTAATGAATCAATATAGACATCATATAATTTATCGCAAGGCCTTTGGTTCATTACGCCGTTTTTGACATTTCATGTTGTGTCGTGAGTTCTTTCGGTTGCAGTTTCCCTGTTTTGGTTTTGGGTGATCTTGGTTCTTTCGTTTGCAGTTTCCCTGTTTTGGTTTTGGGTGATCTTGGTTGTTGCTGTTGCTTTTGTTCCGTCTGGTTAGGGCTCAATGGTGCTCGATATCTGTTGAATTTGATGCTCGATAGCCACTCGATTAATGGAACTGTTTAATGATGTTCAATGCTTATGGACCAGTTCAATAACATGTTTTGTATAATGTTGTTGGATGGTTGATGAACGTGATTGAAATATCAAGAGTTTCTCTTATACTGATCAAGTTTTTAGGCTAGATGATACTAAGTATAAGCTAGACGTGAGTTTTGAGCATTTGGACGTGTCTCGACCCAGCAAGTTCTTGTTGTCGTTATTATGAATAACATAAAAACAATAATAACAGAGTTTATGCAATGTTCTGATAACTTCACATTTTTTGTGCACTTTTGAGGCTAAAAAAGTTCTGAAACACTGTCGTTATGTTAGCTAAGGGAGAAGAATGATGTTTAATCCAAGAGTTGGCTTCTGTAGGACCTGTATCTTTGATGAGCCTTGAAATGTCTATGAAACAATGGTTGACAATGCACTCTAGGTGTTCAACAGAATGACTCGATTAGCTAAGGGGTCGTTTACCAAACACTTACTCAGTAAGCGCTTACCGGTAAAATTTAACATTATCATTTACTTACCAGATAAGATTTTTGTCCACTAAAACGGTATTCTATGCAACAATTTACCCGGTAATATCTTACCGTGGTAAAAATCGTTTTCCTCACTTACCGGGTAAGACTTTTGGTCCTTGTATCGTTCTTACCAGGTAAAATATTTTATTCTTAACATATTATCCGGTAAGGTAATATGACTTGGTGTTCACTTACTTGCATAAACGTTTGGTAAACGACCTCTAAATCCAAGTGGGAATAGCAATATATGAAACTGCTCCGTTGCTATATAATTTTATTAAATTAAAAAAAATACGTACGATTAATGTAATTAAAATATATAAATATGTAATGAATATATGTGGGTTTTCCATGGTTCAACAATCTTGTGGGTGGGTTATGGTTTAGATGGGTGCCACGTGGTTGATGGCTAGGGTCTCATAGAAGTGGTGGGGGCTAAATGGTTTGGGTTCGACTAGAGGTGGCCAAACTTCGGTCCCGGGCCGGTCCTAATCGCGACAAAAACCGGCGGTAACCGGTCCCG